CAAGCACGAGGCCGGGAAGCCACACACCAGACGCCCTCGCATCGTGGCCCGGCATGGGCTCCAGGCTCCGCCACTCGACACACTGCATGCGAGGCAGGGGCGGGGACGGATCGGGAACGTCCTCCACTCACCACACCAGATGACGGCCAGGGAGAGGCCCCGCGGGACCCTCCCCCAGCTCGGAGGGGGGAGGCGCAGGCACGCAGTTACTGATGTGGGCAGCCACTAACGCTCAAAAGCAGGACAGGGAGTGGCAGGGCCGCGGGAGCCCATCGGGTGAGGGCCCCCACCAACCCAGCAGCGCACGCCGCTTCCCGAACGAGGATCGCTAGAGAACCTCTCCTCACTCTGAGGGTGGCCCGCACCCAACCCCGACGGGAACCCCGCCGGGACCAGCACACATCAGAGGCGTCCATCCTTCCCACCACGGGGGCAGGGAGGGGTGGGGCAGGGGGGTTCTGCGGCAGCAGCAACACCAACCCTGGTCAGTCGGCCTTGCCGTGCGGGGCCAGAGCAAAGTCGCGCACACAGGCGGAAAGCCTGCACAGGCCCGGCTCGCCTCCCACTGCAACATCTAAGGTCCCCCGGTGCAATAAAAGCCAGGTGACACGGCAGGGAAGACAAGCCAGGACCAGGGCGGCAGCTCATGCTGGGAAGCCACCACCCAGCGCAACAAGGGAAGAGCGCTCCTCTGGGGAACCGCCTCGACCCCCCCAGCAGAAATGTCAACCTCAATGGTAACTTCTCACTCACACAAGCCCCACGAACCCAAGGACGGCCGGGACACACCACGGGCAGCAGGCTGGCACAAGGCAGTGGACAATGCCAGGATCCGGAACGACACAGCCACTCAGCCTCAGACACCTGAGAGAACCGACCGGGAGCATTCCGGGAGCACTGCAAGAGGGCAGAGCGCGAGGCGCGGCTTTTCACACCACACAGCATGGGCAAGCACGGAGCACCGACCCTCCCTCTCTGCGGAGAGAGCCGACCCCCGTGCCGATAAGGAGTCACGGGAAGAGAGGAGCAAGATCAGGGCGACCCCCTCATCCAGCGTGTACAAGTCCCGGACCTCCCGGCGAGGGCAGGGAGAGCGCAGCCGGACCCGGTTGCCGCACCCCTGCCTCCCCGCATACCACCGGCGCCAGCACGGTGGGACGGTGAGGGCAGGGGCCCACGGGCAGAACGAGAAGAGCGTTCCCATTCACCATGAATGTCCGTCCCTCGCCTGGCGCAGCTTAGGCCCGGGCCCAAAGGAGATCGCAACATCACCACATCAATCACACCGAGGGGGTGGAGAAGACAGCCACACGGCACTCGGGAGGCGGTGGCCCAGGAAGCTCAGCTCCTGAGAGGGGCCAACAGCCTGGGATAAAAGCGTAGCAGGACAGACACCCTTTCATGAGTAACAAGCGAGGTAAAAAGAAAAAAGAAAAAAAAAACGAAAAAAAGAAATGAAAAAATACCACGGGCTTAAACGTCCCTGGCACTCGGGATAACCAGGACACCTCTGCCGGGCACAGGACCGAAGAAGCTAGAAAGGGAGAAAAGAAAAAAAAGAAAAAAAAAGCCACGGACAGCGCTTGGGAGTAGCGCAGCTCAGCGGCCGACCAGGCCTGCCATCGGGAAGCGGCAGGTCGGGGGAGTTGGAGAGCTAGGGGCAATAGGAGAAAGAAAAAAAAAAGGAGCCACGGAGGTCGGGCGTGCCCAACTGCAGAACTGGGATGCCGCACAGGCACAGGCAAGGCAGGACTCGCCCCCCGCCCTTTTCCTCCTCAAGCCAGCCACGGCGAGGGAAGCACACCGCGCGGGCCTACCTACGCACCCCAGGCAACCAACCACTCTCCTCCTCGGCGTGCCGAGGCAAGGGCCAGAATCCGGCACCGGGAGCGGGGGAGAGATCAAGGACGACGGGACTCACTCAGCCGCCAACCACCAACCAACCACCACCACACCCACGAGCCACCACAGGGGCACAGGGCCTGCTCAGGGCAGCGGGAGCCCAGGGTGCGGGGGGAAGGACAGGGGGACCCGGACCGGGAAGAGACGGGAAAGGCCCGGCACACAGCATCCGAGAGAGCCCCCAAAGACCTGCTGACAGCCACTGGGACACAGCATGCCAGCACCCTCCTGCAGGTACAAAATCCTCACGTCACCATGCCAAAACCAGGTCCCCAACACGTCCCCAACAGAGCCAGCACGCACACACCCGGGACTCCCGGGCTCGGGTCCCTGACTCCCGGGGTGCTCCCTCCGCCTCGAGTTTTCCCCTACGCAGGGCCCACCGGGCAAGTCCCCGCAGATGGTAGGTAGGTCCCGGCCCCAAGGCCCGCCTCGGCCGTGCCCAAGGCTCCTCCCTCCGGAGAGGTCTGTCCTCCGGCCGCTGGGGCCATGGAGGAAGGCCACACAGGGCCGGCGACCCAGGCCCTCGCACCCGGCATGCGCCAAGCGCTCACTCGGAGGTGACTCCGGGGAGGGGGGGGTCCGAGTCCGGACCGGGACCGGCCCCACCACCTATCCGCTCACCCAGGGACCCTCTCCCCCGACTCCCGAGACGTCCCTCGTACTCTCCTTTTTTCGCCCTCAAAGACCAGAGTCCAGGGAGGGGAGGAGGACAAGGCCTCGGGCCCAGACAAAACTACTGGTCGACCCGACAAAGCTGCCACCCCCGCACAGACCGGGCACGGAAGAGAGAGCGGCAACGCATGGCCCTACCCCGTGCTCGCCTGCGGGCGCAAAGTCCGACAGAACAGCCGCCCCGCTCCCACCATCTGCCTGCCCGTCTTTTTTTTTTTTGGGGGGGGGGTTGTTTGTACGTTTTGTTTTCTTTTTCCCCCAGGTGGAAACCAGAAAGGAAAAAAAAAAACTCCCAAAGATGGGTCGGCTCCAGCAAGAGAGGAGCCCTCGGGAGGCACCCCGCTCACTTGTGAAAGTCCGCCGCTCTCCCTCCCCACAACACACTCCCTCCCCCCGCCCCCACTCGCCACCCCTCACAGGCAGGGAAAGGGCAGGGGGAAGACCAGAGAGAGGTTTCTTCTAACACACAGAGAGTAGGTACGTCACACACACAGGTCTGGAAAACCACGGTGACAGTGCAATGGGAAGCGTGAGTCCACTCATCCATCACTGAATGACAGGAAAGCCAAACGAGAGCCAATGGCTGGGTGGGGAAGGAAGGGGAGGTGGCACCCGTGTGTCGCTTATCCCCGGGCACCACACCGGACGGAACGACCTTCTCACCAGTTCGTACTCTAGCCTGTCCAGACAGCTAGCCTTTTCTAATAGGCTCTGCCACTCTCTCTGAAGCAGGATTCGGGGCATGAGGCGATGAATCTAAACCCTACACACAGGCGTTGGAGGGTAGAGGCATCATCACTCACATGCCTGTGGTGGAGGACCTGGACCTGAGCGTGGCGGTGCACAGTGTGTGTGTGCGGGGCTGGGGGGAGGGCAGGTAGGGAACCCTAGGAGGAAAGACAGGGAGAGACGAGGGGCCCCGGCCCAAACAGAGTGGAGGCATCAGAGGGGCGATCCTATCTCCCGGGGGCGAAGCACGGTTAGAACCCACAGGCCCGGAGGGCGTACTTCTCTTTGGAGTTCGCACTGGGAACATACGCAGGCACAAGTGCCCCAGCACACACATCGCATCACAGACGGGTAGAGAGGCAGAGCCAGGGAATCAGGCATGGCAAACACTCTATTCCGTCAACACACACACACACACACACACACACATGTTACGGTGTGTGTACAATATCCACAAGGTAAAAGTTTATTCATCTGTTCCCCAAAGAATAAGAATAAGATTATGTCAGTTACAGGGAAGTAGATCGATGGACTAGGAGCGCGCGGGGGGTGGGGGGGGGGGGCTGCCGGCGGCGGAGAAGGACCTAGAACAGGTGATGCCAGGGGAAGACAGACCGGTGGAAAGACAGACCGACCTACCGACCGACCGACCGACCAACGGCACGGCACGTGTTTTCCCTCCTATGTGGATGCTAGACCTAAACTATAACTGGACATGGTAAGCTACACAGCACTCCGGGCAAACAGAGTGTGTGTGCCCCCATGTGTGTGACACACATACAGTCCTTTTGTCAGAAGGTGTAACTTCTCTGAGCATTTAAGATATTGCAGAGAAGACATAAGACGTAATATCCATAAGTGGCATGACTGTGAAGGTATTATAACAACCGGACATGTTAGGATTAAAGCTGGAATTAGGAGGACAGAAACGTACCTGTCCTAACGCTTTTGGTCATTATTACAAGTATATTTGGTTTAGGATCTTTCAAAACACATTGATTTATCCTTCTGGACACGATGGTCTATGACCACACTAGTAAATAGCCACTTCAAAGCCAGATCATCGGTTGGATACGTTTCAATTGGTTTATATTGCATCCTCCAATATTTTTTTCTTCTTTTTATTCTATCTTCTCGCTAAAGATCCAGTGGTATAAAGCTACTTTTATTCTCTTAATATTCCATAACTGAAGTGATCTGCTTTGTTTTGCAGCTTTCTCAGCTTAACTCACTGAGGCCTATTTAGTCACACATGATGAGAGGTCCAGAAACATCTTTGGGGCCACGGATGGCTTTTGTAAAGTCCATTTGGGGAAATAGCAAATATAATCTACCATGTCCTAAAATGTAACAGATTATCTCTATGGGACCGATAGAAATATCCAGATGTGCCCTGTCAACAGCCAGTTATTTTAATTTACTTAAGGGAAATCAAGTGAATAAAAGTCTATATAGTTCAAGAAATTTTATTCTGATACCTATATAAAAAGTTTACCTGAGTAGGTGAGGACATTGGTTTATATTGCAAGTGATTCTAGAGAAGACAGAGAAAAGAGAATAGAGGGGGATTGTCCCTTGCTGTTGGATGTGGGGTGAGGTGGAGAAAATAAGGGAAAAAGAAGGCCACAGATTGGATTATTAGAGTGAAAAACCATGGTTAAAATGGGATGGGAAGCAAGTTTACTCACCAATCATGTAATCATTGTCCTAGTTCTCCAGACAGGTTGTAATCTTCTTTTCAGTACTGGTGCTCCAGCCACTCTAGAAACCATACATGTAAGCTTCCACTAGCGCTAGACTTTCCGTACTAATTGTAGTCTTGCACGTCTTTTCACAACCCAGCTTCTCAATGCCATAATAACAGATAACTGGGGAGCCACATTAAAAAAATAGCCTTCCATGGGCTGGGAAGGCGGCTCATTGGTAGAGCTCTTGCCTTGCATGCCTGAGGCCCTGGGTTCGATTCCTCAGCACCACATAAGCAAAAAGAAAAAAGCTTGGAGTGGCGCTGTGGCTCAAGTGGTACAGTGCTAGCCTTGAGTTGAAGAGCTGAGGGACAGCATCCAGGCCCAGAGTTCAGGTCCCGTGACCGGAACCTCCCCCCCACAAAAAAAAATAGCCTCCCAGGAAATACAGGAGCCATTTAGTCAGCTTGCCCCACCCACACCCAGAAGGGAAGATAGAGGGTGGGTGTTGGCCTAGTAGGGAGGCAGAGTTCCACAGGTAACTGAGATAACTTTTGTTTTGTAAATGTAGTCATGGCAACGACTTAGTTGCAGTGTTGCTTAGGACCTTTTAGAAGAAACTGGAATTCCAAGAAGAGAAGGACTGTTATCAGGAAATGTAGGCAGGAAGCCTCTCAGAGAACTACCTTTTGCAAAGGCCAAGGCCTAAGTTAATGAGTGCGTAAGATAAGAACACTGCAAGAAAGCAATCTTAAGGTAGTGTTCTATACAGAATATATTAATAGACTTGAAAAATACAAGAAATATCACATGGAAATGATTCATACAAAACAAAAAATTGAAATGAATTCTTTATTTCTTCTTTTCTTCCTTACCTTTTTTTTTTTTTTTGGATGTGAGGATTGAGCTCAGTGCCTTGGTGTTGATATTTACATTTTATTTTTTCCCCAAGGCAGCTACTAGTATACATTTTTGGGCAACAGCTCCACATGTGGTTTCCTGGGAAATCCTTAATCTCACAGTAGACTAAAAGACTACCCTGTTAGGCCAGCTTGGAAACGACCCTTAGATTTCTCTCAGCCTTCTAAGTAGCTGTGGGTTACAGAGATGAGCCAGCAGCATAAGGCTAATGGGGCTCATTTTGTACAGGGGAAATTGTCTTTGATTTGGAACTGGAAAGCTGTGCTATGTATCTATAACAACTGTAGTTTCAGGTCTGTTGAAGGTTTCCTCAGGGCTGATTAGTACTGTGTAATGCAGGACCACAAGGAGGGCAGAATCACATGAGGCGGCACTTTATGGTGCCAGTAAAATCAAGAAGCTCTCACTACCCGCCAAGTGTGATGGGTATTCCTTCCTTTCCCTGCCCTCGCTCAGAACAATAGAACGACAGTGAGCAAACTCCATCTAGTGTCCACTTTCTGAAAATACCATGCTTGTGAATTCCAGTTTCCTCTCATGAAATGAATGAATCAAGGAAGGGTGGGGGTGGGGCACTGTAGGAATTGAGATTAAAAATAATCATTGCAGGCACCATGAGACCAAAGTTTGAATTATAAGATTCTAAGGTATTGTATGAAAAAGACAAGAGTTTTGGCTCAAGGAATTAGAAATAGAAAAGAAAATGCAATCTGTGACTAAACAGGAGAGAAAATGAGAAAATATTGGTTTGAGTTTTGAATGTGATTGGTTAATTCTATTTTGAATGGTGAAGGCCAATACTCCATTTTAACTCCAGCTAAACTATTGTATTGTAAATCTTTTTTTGTGTGTCGGTCGTGGGACTTGAACTCTGGGCTTGGGAGCTGTCCCTCAGCTCTTCAGCTCAAGGCGAGCGCTCTACCACTTGAGCTACAGCGCCACTTCCGGTTTTCTGGTGGTTTATTGGAGATAGGCGTCTCAAGGTCTCTCCTGCCCGGGCTGGCTTTGAACTGCGATCCTCAGATCTCAGCATCCTGAGTAGCTAGGATTATAGGCCTGAGCCAGCAGCGCCCGGCTTGTAAATCTTTTAACTTATGCTTCTGTAAAAATTACAAACAGATGCTAACCCTCATAAAGGACACATTGTTAATTCCTCCAAGGGACAATCTGTCTTTATCTCTTTCTTTACTGTGTGGCTACACCTAAGCGTCTGGGGCACTATCACAGAATGTTTTATTTATATACGAGTAGTTTTCTACCAGTTTTGAGCCACAGCACCATTTATGGGTGTCTCCCGCCAATGGTGGCTTTGAATCATGATCCTCCGATGTCTCTCAGCCATCTCAGTACCTAGGATTATAGGCTTAAGCCATAAGCACCCAGCTCAGAGACTAATTATGTTTACAGCAAAATGTACATTTGGAACTGAGAAGCTACAGTATCTAAATGATTGAGGTCGCAGCTCTACTACAGATTTCCTCAGGGTGAATTAGTATTATATTATGCAAGAGTGAAAACTGGCAGATATCAGTACTGTCCTGTGTGCTTCAGTCAGGCAGAACACGGTGCAACCAAGGTATGGTGCCAG